ATCCTAGTTATTGCCAAACAGCCCCTTAGGCTTCTGATGCCTGTAGAGACCCAAGACTTGTTATTAGGATTTATATCATAGGTATTTGCTCCTGCGAGACCAGAAATTTCAGGGGATGTTAGCTGAAGTCATGTTGTTTGCTTCAACTTATAAGAATTATTTATGTTTTTTTTTTTTTTAGATTTAGATCAATTAACCCAAATTCAAACACAATATATATACAATGTTTCAATTCAAGACCTCTTGGTTAATAGTCAAAATTATGAAATCCTATTTCCACTCAACTCGAACATAATCTGCAAGACACCAATGAACTGATACCTACATAGACAGTCATGGGTGCACATCCCATTTATTGTTATGGAATAATAATATGGCTAACAAATTCAGTGATATTTCTCCATTAATTAGTTTTCCACGGTTCGTCACCTCCTTTGTGTGGACAAATTATTCCGTCAGGTTACCTGACGTAGAGCTACATCAGGTAGCCTATAATATGTCGCCACGTGCACTTACTCTTTACAGTGCGGCCCGACGACCTGACCCGGAACGGACCAGGGAGTATGCGTAGCTCGGTATTGCTATGTATTGGTCGATTTTGCTCGACAAAAAAGAAAAATACTATTATGTGAAGACCAATACTGAGCAATACCGAGTTCTTTTAGGTATTACTCAGTATTAGTCTACACATAGCGGTATTTCTCGATATTGCTAAGCAATACCGAGTAATACATAGCAATACCGAGCAATATGCAAACATAGTAATCCCGAATTCGGTCCGAGTCGGGTCGTCGGGCCGCGTGGTAAAAAGTAAGTGCACGTGGCGACATATTATAAGCTACCTGATGGAATAATTTTTCCTTTGTGTGAAGGGTTCACATATAGAAAGCCCCTTTGTGATTTTTTTGCATATTCTATTTGATCAACGCCATTAACCAATGATTAAGAAAGTCTTGGCTGTTATGCTACTCAATACAATTCAACTTAAGATTCACAAATAGAGATTCTATGATGGAAATAATAAACAAATCGAGGTCCTGAAAAGAATCTAATATTAAATAAAAAATGAAATATAAAAGCAGACAGTGAATTGCTATCACGACCCGGCCCGATTAGCTCACAAGTGCGAGGCGGAAACAGAGGTCAGATAGGATGAAGACAAAAGAAACTTCACAATAAATAATTAACATATCTCCAAATAAATACCAAACAAACTGAAAGAGCCACTAAATAATCATCCAATAAAAAAAAATCATTTCCTCATATCAAAGCACCAACATAAGGATTCCACATTGAGTTTACAAAATACAAAAGGGGATCCAAAAATCATTTTTCTTACTTATCATTTCTAAATCTTCTATACAAAATATCAAAACTCAAAAGAACCTGTCGCCCGTCTTCTCCCTACGACGGTAAGTGCGCGGTGGTTTGTCTGTCATCTATCCTTTCCTAGATCCTTCTGAAAAGTGTTCCCACAACGAGGGTGAGTAATAAACTCAATAGGTATGAATGGAATTCAAATAAACTTAGAATCAAAGAAGAAAATTATATCATGCTGTTGACCTCGATTTTGCCCAGACATGGGCATGATAGGTTGAGTTGACCAAGTCAACCTTTGACTTGGTCAGGAAATGCATACCTTTACCTCAACTTTCAAGTTCTTTTTCCTTTATAACATTTTCATTTTTCCTTTAACATTTTGCCTCACATGATAGTCTCAAATACATAACATGAATATGAAATGTTCATAATAGTATAATATGTAAATATAACAACCGTCTCGGGAGTATCACTTGTACTTATCACGTACATAAATTTTGGTTATTTCCTTTACCATTGGTTCATAGGAACAATCCTTTATCATGGCTCATAAGTGCCTCTTTTACCATGTGTACACTTATTACATGTAAAACTATAAGAGATGTTTTATGTAAACCATTCATAAATTAATCAAGTGTATGTTTCCTTAGGGATATGCATGCATGATATGCTTATGTGTGCTTTTGCATGTAAAGAGGAAAGACATATATAGTAAGAGTTGAGAAATGAGCATGGGGTCAATTCATGAATTATACATTTGCATAAATAAAACATTTGCATTTGCTTCAAGTGTCCATAAACTTACAAGGGAACATGAGCCATAACAGTTTCATAATGAGCATAAAGGAATTTGTCATTTCAATGTAATTTGCAATGAAAAAAAAATTTGTCTAAAATTTATAAGAACATCCATTCCACCTACCTAAATCCGTGCACCTCTTTTTTGTCCGATCAAACTCTTTCCCTCCACACGATTAATATCTAAAAGAGACATACAAAGAAAAATATAAGTGACTAATCCCTATACAATATCCTAAACCCTAATTCTAAAGTAATAAAAGAGTTCTTCTAATGTCTTGTTTATATTCCAATTCAAGCCCTCCACACCAAATCATGATATCTCTCAAACACATTCTCTCTCAATTATGGTTTAATCAAATTCCTTAGGTTTTAAGAATGCAACACCTTTCTCTACCCTCAAAACATAATTAAAACAAAATCAATTTTCGGAATTAATAAAATCAAAAATTAGAAAATATAGTTTTTCAAACAAAACCCATGTATTTGCCTCTAAAATCCTCCCAACAACCAATGAAAATCATAAAAATAAAAAATTCCTTAATTAGGGAAAAATCCTAAATTCCTAAACTCAAAATGTTCATCATTCATTCAATATTTTTCAATTAGAAGTTTTCTTAGGTTAATAGAAACCTCATTTATGAAGACATTTCCAAAAAAATAATTTTTGAGCAAAACCCTAATTTCCAAAATTTCATATTTTTCAAGAAAACACTTCACATTAGGGTTTAAAAACTTCCCCTAACCCTTCCCTAAACTTTTCTCAAATGAACCTTAAATAAAACTCAAATTTTCCTAAAACTTTAGAAATCTTCTCATCAAAAAATCTTGAGAAAGAGAGGGAAAATCATAGTTCTAATACATATATTTTCCTTCCCTTGACTTCCTCTTCAATTTCCCCAAAATTCCTCACCGGAAAAGGTCGCCGGAGCCGCCGCCTTAAGAGCCCAAGCCGTCCGCCCCTAGGAGTTTCGCTCGGTTCGTGCGAATGGGAGAGAAGGAGGGCTCGGTTTGCCTATTAAGGTAGAAATGAGGATTGCCAAAAGTCTATTTTACCCTCGCTTAAACTCTCTTCTAATCAAAAAGCATTGAGGGTAAAATTATCATTTAGAACTTTTTTCAGAAATTTTAACTATCAAAATACTCAAAATTCGATATGGGTTCTATACATCAAAACGATCAGAATTTTAAGCTCTATTTTATAAAATTATTCCCGTCGAAATCCGACAACTTCAAAATTTTCACTTAAAACTCATCGCGACGCTTTGAAAAGCGTGCGAGGTCTAAAACAGCATTTTCGTGTTTTACAATTCTCCCTCCCTTATAAAAATTTCGTCCTCAAAATTTAAGACAAGTTTAAGAAATCATACCTTAGTCAAAAAGGTGAGGGTAGCTCTCCTTCATCTCTGATTCCTTCTCCCAAGTAGCATCTTTCTCAGTTACATGCTTTCATATAACTTTGACATAAGGAATCTCTCTACTTCGAAGCTACTTAACATCATAATCTATAATCTTCTCAGGTTCTTCTACAAATGTCAGATCTTGTTGGATATCTATTGCTTCAGTACTT